AAAAAAAAAACAAAGTATGTTTGTTGTCCAGACAGGCCACACTTCATTTACTCGGACCTAAAAATTTATATTGTTAAGGTAGGATTGAATTGCAAATACTGGCCCATTCTTCCTAATAAGAGAAATATTTAAAAATAATAATAATAATTATTATTATTTTTTTTGGTACTGGGGATTGAATTTGGGACCTTGTGCTTATGAGGCAGGGGGCGGAATCACTGAGCTAAGATGCTGGCTAAGTACTTTTAACTGGGGCGTGATGGTGCACACCTATAATCCCAGAAGTGAGGAGGTTGATGCAGGAGAATCACCATGAGTCCAAGGCCAGCCTGGGCTGCATATCAAAACCCTGTCTCAACAAAACAAAACAAAACAAAAAAATAGGGCAAAAAATATTTTTTCACTTTTTGAAGTGATCTTGGAGAGCTGCAATTTCCAAAACAATTTGAAAAGGAAAACAAAATTCCAAAGTCACTGTAACTGTATAACAAATGTTAATGAGCAGTTGTTGAACAAGGCTCTGGCCTTTTTTTTTCCTGTTTGAACCCTTTTTCCCTTCACCCTCTTTTCTCCTTTGCCCTTCTCCGTGTTTCTGCTACCCTGTAATCTTCAATATATGTAGCTGCTTCCTTTCTTCCAAAAGCAAAAAACGAAAATACCAAGGCTCTGCAGAGCTTGTGGGCAGTGCCCCTCAGTCATGACTGGTATGGTAGTTATTAGGGAGGTAACATTTAGTTAGAAGTCACTCCCTAATAAGAAGGAATGAAATAAATCAGGCTTTATCTTTCTCTCATAGGCTCTGAGTTATACTCCTGTTGAGGTTAAAGAATCAGATGAAAAAACCAAGAGGGACATTAACAGGTAAAGAATACTTTTTTTTTTGGTACTGGGGATCAAACTTTTGCGCTTGCGAGGAAGGCAGTGGCATCACTGAGCTATATCCCTGGCCCAAGAATACTTTTCTGTTGTTGTTTTTTGTTTTTGGTACCAGGGATCCAAGAATACTATTTTTGCAAAGAGAGAACCTTTTCCACTGATTATTAGTTTTTAATCTTTCCATCTCTAGTGCAGAATGAGTAGTTTTCTCCCTCCTATCCTTCAAGATTGTTTGTGGGAAATGATTTGTGTGTGTGACAGGTTTCTGAGTGTGGCCAGTCTTCAAGGACTCATTCACGAAGGCACCATGACGTCACTGTGCATGGCCATGTCAGAGGAGCAGCATAAATCTGTGGTCATTGACTGCAGTAGCTCCCAGCCTCAGGTCTACAATGCAGGTGAGCTGTAAACTGAAGTGCCTTCTTCGACCTCTTAGAATTTTCCCTCTTTGCACTGAGAACAAATGATTCAAACATCCTGTTGCCTCCTGTAGTTTTTCATGGTTATCTTAAACTTTCCGAAAATAGTAGTTTTTGGCTGGGCATGGTAGCACATGCCTGTGAGCCTAGCAATTGGGAGGCTGAGGCAGGAGGATCTCTGCAAATTCAAGGCCAACCTGAGCTTTAGTAAATTCAAGGCCAGCCTGAACTACATAGAAAGACCGTCTCATAAAAACCAAAAAATAAAAAGAAATACATGTCTTGTGTTTTGTAGTGTTGCATTTTCATTTACTTTCTTTCTCTAAAATATTTTATAGGAAGCAACCGATTTTGTGAGGATTGGATGCAGGCTTTTTTAAATGGTGTTGAAGGGGGTAACCCGTTTCTTTTCCGACAAGTACTGGAAAACTTTAAACTAAAGGTAATAATTTGGCTATATGCCAAGGGTCACATACAATTTTTTTGTCTGAGTTTTAATCAAAGCAGGGACAGAATAACACATCTACTTTACAACTGTGGTGTCTCTTAAATAGGACATTCTCAAAACTGGAATTATCAGAAAGCATTTAATTTTTTAGTAGCTTCTGCGTACATATAATTTCATTTCCAGTAAATGCTTGCTTATATTTAGGGGACATCAATCTTAACAATTTGTGATATAAAAATGTTTTTACTTTATAGGTGAGATTTTGTTCTAACAAGGGCAAAGCACATTATCCATAAGAATGACAAGTATTTAAAATAAAAAGCAAACATCTTAGCAACACATGCTGAGCTCTCAGTTGGGTAGGAGATATTTTTTTAAGCTTCATTATTGTCTCATTAAACACATTTAAGTGGCTAATCTTTTTCTAGGCCATACAAGACACAAACAATTTGAAGAGATTTATCCGGCAGGCAGAAACGAATCATTATGCTTTGTTTAAATGTTACATGTTCCTAAAAAACTGTGGTAGTGGAGATATCCTTTTGAAGATTGTTAAAGTGGAACATGAAGAAATGCCTGAAGCCAAAAATGTGGTAGCAGTCCTAGAAGAATTCATGAAAGAAGCTCTTGCCCAAAGTTTTTGATCAAGTTTTGAGATGACTGTGAAGTTGTATATTCAAGTTGTGGTGTTTGAAATTGCAATAGTTCTAATTGTTCATAGGACGACTATTTAAGATTATTTGAAACATACCAGATTTACTTTTTACTTTTAAATTTTAACTTAATTAAACATAGAAATAGGAGGAACATCTTTACTGAGTCATAGGTGGGTATATGTGTTGATTTTGAATTTTAGCTGTGTATGATGATTCATTTCTGTAATGTGAGTGCTTAGGAGGCTGAAGCAGGAAGATGATCCCATCAAGTCGAAGGCCAGCCTAGACTACATAGTGAGTTCAAGGCCAGCCTGAAGTACATATGGAGACCCGGTCTCAAAACTATTTGCATTTTAGACTTTTGATTGTCCCATAAATTATAAACTTCAGAAATTTGTTGCCTAAAAAATGTCAGAGGTGGTTTTGTGACTTCTGTGAACGCCTCCCGATACTTTTTTTCTTTTGTCTGATAGTTGGTATGGATGATGAAGCCAGCTTTTAGGTTAATATGCAAATAAATCATGGTTGTATAAGAAAGTAAATGAACTTTCAAAATAGATGCACGAGCTTCAGGATACAACATTCTCTGGGAGGCTGCTGCAGAAGACGGCCTTACATTGCTTTTCTTCATTTGTTTGCTCATGGGTATCTGTCTAGAGCCTGTTTTCTATTTTTCTTTTACATAAATTTTATGAGGAAACTAGCAAAGAATGCAAACAGATTCTTTGCACATCAGTACTCATTTCTCATTGATTTTAGTTTTTTGTACATTTGTTACAAGTCTGATTGTTTTTCTCCTAATCAATTCAAAGTGCCCTCAAATAGCCTCTGCAATTCCCATGGAAGCCAGCTACAGCTACACACACCTTTCTTCTGCATAGCCCTCTACTAAATTCACTTGAGAACGATCTGTTTAGAAGATCAGGAGTCTGACGTTCTCGGTGCCTTCAGGATGCTCAGAGAGCCCACGCCCACAGACTGAGGAGCGCGCTTCATGGCTGCACATTCACACAAAGTGCTGAGCTGTGACTTAGGGACATGACTCACCAGACTTTTGTTTTCCTTTAATGAGAAATACAATTCAGGATCCTCATGAATGCTTTCATAGGACTTTAAAGTTTAATAACCTAGATTATAGGCAGTATAGAAAAAAGTCTTTTATAGTATTCAGCATGGCTGGAAAATCAGCAGTTTTATGATACAGTCCTTGAGTCTGTCTTTTTGTACACTCTGTTGCCCACTTGGAAAACAATTTTTTTAAGTAGCATAATGATATCAACATTTTGAGTCTTGAAAAGAAATTTTCCCTTTCAAATTCATAATATCATTCCAAAGTCCACATTGTAGATGGTATTTAAAAGTAAATTGTTACTCCCTGCTTCAATTTATTTACAGATATAGGCAAGGGTTAACGTGATCTGTTTATAAATATATTTTTGTAATGTAGACTCAATACATAATTGTACACAGTAGACTTAATTAAGAAATAAGTCTGACAAACTCAGTATCACTGTTGTAAACAAGGAAAAAGGTATCATGGAACTGAATATCTTGTTGATCACAGAGCCCATGATCAGCAATGTACTGTATTCAAATTTTAATAAGCTAATTACTAACTTTTAAAAAAGTTTAAGAAGGATTTGTTCAGTGATGGGTGTGGTAGCACATGCTTTGCTCCCAGCACTTTGAGAGGCTGAGGTAGGACTACAACTTCAAGTCCTGTCTGAGCAATACAGAAATGCTCCCTGAAAGTATAGTTTTCCTATGCTTTTCTTTCCCCCTCCGGTACCGGGAATAAAACTCAGGATCTTGCACTTGCAAGGCAGGAAAGGCACCACTAAGCTAAATTCCTGGCCCTGAAGGTATAGCTTTCTGTCTGAGCAATTTAGGGACTTAGCAAAACCCTGTTTTAAAATAAAAATATTTTTAAAAGGCTGGGAATGTAGCTCAGTGCAAAGGCCTTGGGTCAACCCCAGTACTGCAAAAAAGAAAAATCTTTTGTTCAGCTGTGAAATTAACATATATTATTTGTGTGCTATACACAGGAAATGTTTTATCGTGTATCAAAAATGGTCTGTTTATCTGTAATTTGTAATAATAAAACAGCTTCTAATCAAAGCAGTCATTTTTAATGAACTTAATTCTTATGCCTGACATTTTTACTCCCACAAGTTGGTGGGAAAATTATACTTGTACCAAGGTGCATGTTGGACAAAAGCAAAACACTTGCTGGATACACCTTCTGCAGCTTGCAGGAAGGATCTGAAAGCAAGTTTGAACAGTTTTCTTCACTGTTCAGAAAGTCACACCTGTGGGACACACAGGAGCCATCACTTCCTTTTCCTCTTAGTCACTATTTTTTTGGGGGGCGGTACTGGAGTTCAAACTCAGGACCTCGTGCTTCCAGGGCAGGCTTGCTGAGCTAAATCCCTGGCCCCCTCTCATTCACTGTTAACCGTGACAAAATGTCTGCCCTTTACCAGTGGGTCACTTACGCCAAATGCTAGGAAAGGTTGCTGTCATCTCAGAGGTCAGATTCAATTACTAGGACCACATTTCCCTCACCATTTTAGGAGACCCCACTACCTTGAATGAAGGGTTTCCACTTGGAGGTCTGAGAAGGCAGCTCAGTTTCTGACTGCTGAGCTAACTGCCCCACAGACTGACTCCTGTGGACAGAGTGTGGAGGTGGCCAAGAGGCGAACATGCCTGGATACTAGAAATCAGGAGTGACAGCGGGAATGGACTGATAGCGGTGGGGATTTTTGAAAACTCCTGGGAGGAGGGCTGAAGAAGTGGAGCCTGTTGTTCCAAGTCAGCAAATGTCCCGAGGTTCATGGCTTACTGCATGCCCCTGGGCCTAATGCAGTGAGGCTGGCTCTTCAGGCACACCCTGCACAAGTCCATGTTTAGTGCCCTGAACTCCCAACCTCCCAGCTGAGGGCATCAACTTTGGAGCCAAATCTCTTAGGTGTGAATCCAGAAATGCCATCTACTATCAGAAAGTGAGTAAACCCTAAACTTTTCCCTGTGTATAATATGAGGATGTTTATACTCACTTCATAGGAGTTGTGAAAATGCTTACCCCAGTGCCTAGCACAGAGTAGGTGCTCACTAAATTGTTTTCGTTTTCTATTTTTTTGTTTGTTGTTTTGAGACAGGGTCTCACTGTGTAGTTCAGACTGCCTTGGAACTCACTATGTAGCCCAGGCTGGCCTTGAACCCACAGTGATCCTCCTGCCTCAGCCCCCCAAGAGCATGTGCCACCACACCCAGCTTGGCTTAGTTTTTTGAGACAGGGTCTCACTATGTAGTCCAAGGTGGCCTTGAACCCATAATGATCCTCCTGCCTCAGCTTCTGGATGCTAAGCTTACAGACATGGACCACCACACCCAGCTCCTATTAGCATTTTAAAAATTATTATCGTATCTTACTAATTTATTGGAAGAATGAGAATCTGATAGAAGGGGAAAAACAAAAGTAAAAAGGGAAACCAGGCTGAGGCAGTGTTAACTAAGCAGATTTGGGTCTGTCCTCTGGAATTGACCCACTGTTACACCTTTGCTCAGAGAGGGTCCTGAATTTTCCTTCTAGGGAAGTTGCTTCTCCATGCTCCAAATAAAAATAGGCGCTTTGACCTTTAGGCTGAACTGCACTTGGAAGCTGGTTTTGGGATAGTTTCTTCAACATTTAGAAATATTTAAAAATAACATACAGGAAGTAGCATTTAGAAGAAACTGACATGAAAGAACATTTGGAGCTATAGCCCCAGCACTTGGGGGCTGAGGCAGGAAGATCACTCACTATGAGTTCAAGGCCAGCCTGAGCTACACAGTGAGACTGTGTCTTTA